CAATAACACTAAACAATTTGATTAAATGATAATCTATTAAGGTAGTTACATGAAAAGAACAAGAAGCATTGAGTTGAATAAGTATAATGAGGAAAGATGTAACTTTAATCTTCTTAAGTGGTAGAATTAGAGATTAGCATTTATCATGGTAGATTAGATATAGGTACAACCTGTTTCTTTACTTGAAGGATGTTTATTTTTTCTTTTGCCTACATACATATATGTATATTTACACCTGTTAACCCTCATGGAGAAGAATAGGACGCCCACTAGCATTCTCCAACCAACTACTCTGGACAATCCGTTCCAGTTGTTTCCAGTCACTATTCATTCTTTTCATGTCTGCTTCCCATTCCTGACGCAATGTATTACTTGGTCTTCCTCGTTTCCTTATCCCTTAAGGATTCCAAGTTGGGGCTTGCCTCGTGACAAAGTCTGATGATTTCCTTAATATGTGTCCATCCACTTCCACCGTCTTTTCTTAATTTCCCCCTCAGCCGGAAGCTGGTTTGTTCTCTCCTGCGGTATACTTTTTCAATCATAACTGTACACCATGAATTGCTAATAAATTAGAATATAGTATGAAATTTAATCAAAATTTTACTAAATAGTAAGTTGCTATTCACAACAAAGTACGTGGGTCAATCCGTTTTATTGATTTTTATCACAAAACGCAAAGAGGTCAGTTATTCCCTTTATTAATCAATACTTCTGTTTAACTAGTGAGTATTGATCATTTGTATAACTAGCGAATACTGATATGCCACCCCTGCCTCTCTTCTACTTAGTCCATTCGACCTTTATTTATCTTCATTTTCTAGAAGCAACTTCAAATATTAACCTCATTTTTATTTCTTTGTTTGAATTAAGGACACATGTGGCATTGGTAACAATGATAGTTTAGTCCCAACTGGTTATGTGAATGATTTTCAGTTAGAGTAGTTTGATTATTTTGGATTTTCTATTGAATTCGATTAATGTTGAACAAGGGAACTTAATAACATTTGGTAACGAATGAATATTGGAATATATTTGATATTTGTATTGTTTTATTTTGAAGTTATGATATCAAATCTAACTGATATTCGATGCAAGAATAATTTCTGTTTTAGAATATAAATTAAAATTAATTGTTAGATTTTTTTTAAAAAGTGATCTCTCGTTAAGTTTACAGTTCTCAGTTTCCTCCTCAAAGAAATTAAATGATGAATTGTACATTACTGGATAATTTTGAAGTTCTCTAAACTTGTGTCCTACTGATTTCGGTATTGCTAGAATTTTGTTGATTATGTCTTTCAATATGCTAACTCGGATAAATTTCCACTCATTACAATTCAGTGGCTTTTTTACTGTGGACTTCTGTAAGACATCCGTATGATGTTCTGTTTTACCCATGTTCTATATTGCTTGTTACTCATCCATAACATATATATGTAACTAAAGAAATTCACTCCAACAACAGACGAAACCTGTTTCGTCATTTAAAAAAAATATATTTCAGCAAATAAAGCTTCTTTTTCAAAAATCATATTTATTAAGATTCTGTAATCATATATTCGTAGTTATTTAATATAGTTAGGTCATTCTAAGATAGAGAGATGTTGACGTGTTGACGCGCGTCCTGGATTTCAATGCTAGCCGCTATCCATCTCTGCATATACTGTTGAAGGAATGTTTAAGAAGTTAAATTATCAAAAAGTAATCCCATAATGGTCAGACAATTAGTGAAGCGTATTTAGGTAAAAGTTGTTCACAGATGAGAAGAATAAGGTTTTATTGTTCACTTGGTGGATATAAACAAGGTTAAAAATAAACAACAGACGAGTGCTAATAACGACTTATCCTAAAGTATGAAAAATTAAATACAGATTCAGACCATGATAAAATGAAGAGTTGGATATGTCAGATCTGAACACAGACTTGAATTGCTGAATTACTAAAAATTCAGATGTGCACGAATTTGTGGTCTGTGATCCCTTTGAACTAGTTCCTTTTAGTTTGCTGAGGATTTTGGTTGAGATCCTCAACCTTATGTGACCTACACAATTTGCTTCATTCTATTTCACAGACTCATATCCATAGCGCTTTGTATCGCAGTAATATATAGCTTGCGTAATTCAATGCTAATGTCTATAACTATGGTGTTGTCAGAGTTAACCTTAGAAAATTTTATGAGTTTCGTCAGGGTTTATTTACCTCGTATTGATAGTTATTGTTAAGTCTAGTACACAGAAAGTTCACGATGCTGATTTCTTAACGAATCACTAAACTCCCACTATCCTTGATTCATTGACTGCGAAAGTAAACAGAAGGCAGAAATTAGGAAGAACCTTTATTTTCAAGGTTAGATCATTCACAGAAACTATAGGGTATTTATTTGGTCCCTATTATCTTTGCGTAATATCCTAGTACTATGGCAGGAAAACTATAAATCTGTTAACACAAGCACGAACGCGATGACTATAGATGATGATTTATTTAACACCGAAAATGAATCAAAATAGCATTTGAATACGTTGATTTTTAAATGATTTGCATCGATTAACAGTCAAATTTATGTACATTAAACTGAGAAGTAGCTGGCATTGATCAGTCAGTAATTTACTAAATAAGTTTAGATATACAATACCTTAAAATGTGACCAAATATCAAAGACGATTGGGAAAAGATTCAATATTATGGGTCACTGACACTCTAGTCAATAAAACATTTGCTCACTATATCAGATTCAGGTAACCTTGGGATTCTATAAACCTCGAAAAATACTAAAGTTATTAGTAAATTCAATATTTGGCCAATTAGATCAGAGGAAGGCATAATGGGTTGACTTCTAGATTTTCGTTAGAACATTTCCAAAATATTGATTGCTTAAAGTCAGTTTAAGGCGATTTACCAGCTTCTAAAAAATTTCAGTATGGGGGGATTTGTGGAGACTGTAGGATTTAGATAGTTTAAACCACCAATTGATCTTAGGTAGACTACCACTGGGAACCTGGAAGCAATGGACAGATGTTTCGTCCTAATATAGGAATAGCATGAAAATGGTCCTTCCTGGTTTTTAATGGTGATCCAGATAAGATCAGTTCGTGATTCTAGAAAATTGTTGAGTCGTTTCAAGCATCTAACAGTTATTAATAAAAAAGTATGTCTTAATAGAGGATATTTAGACAATGATCACATATCATCCGAACTCTACTAAATGCAATAAGACAGTAAACCATTACAGTAATTTATCATCAAATTAAGGTGAACAAAAAATGTAGTGAAATATTTTACTGCTATGTGTAGTAGTGCTTTCAAAATGTTAATATTTAAACAAAACTAGTAGATACAATGCACGACGGTGTCAGGCTAATTTGGATCTTTTATACAATAACAACAGTAATCGTTAAAATATAAAATTTAATTTCTATAGTAAATTATTGTGTTCAAACAAAATATTGTGGTCACATTTTGCTACTACTCTCTCATATCATTCTTAGTTCATGAAAAAAAGGAATTAAAATAATTAATTTTAAATGAATTTCAAATGAGATCCTCTTTTATTTATTAATTTGATAACAATGATCAACAGTTTTTGATAGCTACTAGTACTTGAATCTATTTGAAGAAGGGTTTTGTACTAATAAATACATCACATTTGAATAAGTTATTACTTATGTTTTCAATGACGAATGAACGAATCACCTAAATGTTATCGCTGAAATTGACAAACTATTCAGTCATTAATATATAACTGAATAGTTTAATTGATACGGTTCTAAACTTGTACCAGTTTTTTATCCCAATGAATACCGGTTAGAAGGTCAATATTTACTAAGATAAAGATATAGCTCTACATGACTCCAAAGAATGATACCATATTGACTTACAGACTTTGTACCACAATGTAGTTAGTCGCAACTAAGTATTCTGTCTTGTTCTAGTATACTATACTTGTGTTGAATTCGGCTATTTATCTACTCAAAAGAAGCGACCTAATGTAAGTCTTGAAACGTAAGGAATTCTAAGTTCTACACATTGAGATATCAGAAATGTATCATTATTTTGTTACTAACATTCTACCCATTCCCCACTTTATTTGAAATTATCAATTTACACATGAACAGACGTGAACACCGTTGGTTGCCGACTCAGTGGTCTATAGGTCCAAGTCCCACGTGCGAGATTATGGGTGTACACTACTGAGAGGTTCCACACTGGGACGAAACGGTCGTCCAGTGCTTCCAGGTTTTCAATGGTTATCTAGCATTGATCGGTTCACGATCACAATAAAAACTCGAAAATCTCCACAACATTATACTGATAATCTTCATTAAGTGTAGAACCATTTAACCAAGTGAATAAATCACTTCTCATCAACATAAATCAGTTACCATGATGACTATGAAAGATGAGATGAGTCAGCAATAAGTAATCGTTAATTACAATATCCTGTCATCAGGAATTGAAAATGTATTCCATCAAACTACGGAAGTGCATAAGACGGAGTAAAAATAAGTTCACCATTAATGAAACGTTATTATTCCAAAAAAAAAACATTTATTTAGGGTTCAAAGTTAATCCAAGTCAAGTAAATACACATCGCTCACTTTGAAGTCTTGAAAGACAACGGAAAGATGGGTACATCGGCAAGTCACTTAGTGGAAGGCATTACTACAACAATTTAAGCAAACACCGAATTTAATAGAATTAATCTTATACTGTTTTAATTATGGCTTCAGTGAAATATTGTAAGCATGGAAAACTGTTTTTTTTTTACATGAGACACTAGAACATCAACGTTTTATGTTAGCAGGATGAAATCAAAAGTGAAAACGAATAAATAATGCCTAGTTTTCATTGGTTCTGGTAGTTGATATCGCTGTGTGATAAGATTGACTTGTTGATGTGTCATTCACGATTAGGGATTGTTGGATGCTTCAACGCTATTGGCTGTGAGTACCTGTCTGTTAATCAATGTGTTAACTAATATGTATCGCAATTTAATTGGTTGGAATCTTTGTTTTTGTTTCGTTATATAACAAACGATTGCTTAACGTTTATAGGTTGTGGAATTATGGCTGATGCTGGCGAGTCATCTCGTGTGATTTTGATCCCGATTGATGGCAGTGATCATTGTGATCGAGCATTTCGTTGGTACTTGGAAAATATGAAACGTGACACTGACTGCATAACATTTGTACACGTAATAGAGCCAGTTTATAACACTCCAGCCATTGGAATGACAATGGAATCTCCTCCAATACCTGACATGACACGAGTTATGGAAGAAAGCATTGAACAAGGCAAAAAGCTTGGTCAGAAATATATGCACGAAGCTAAAAGTCACAAGCTCAATGCTAAGGCGTTTTTACATGTTGATACCAAACCTGGTAGCTCTCTGGTAAAAGCAATTTCAGACCATAAGGCAAACGTTATTCTGATGGGCAATCGTGGTCTTGGAGCTATTCGTCGTACATTCTTGGGGAGTGTTAGCGATTATGTTCTTCACCACGCTCATATTCCTGTAGTTATCGTCCCACCTCAAGAGAAGCAGTAACTTTTTCTTCAATTATAATATCCATTCTCCATTTAAGAGTTAGAAATTATTACTTTGTGTAAGTTACTGTTAAATCATTTTGATACAAAATCTATCTTATTTAATCATCCAATATTTGTTTTTGTCCTGTTCTCAGAATATAATCATATTTATGTATTCCTAGTCTCTTGATATTTAAGGGATATTTCTTAGTGCGTAAAGTTACTTTCGACAAAGTTTGCTTTACAGGTTAAGATGACTTGACCAGCATATGAGTGGTTTTTAATAGGGATTGATGTATGCTGTGAAGTCGCAATTACAAGCATGACCTCTTAAGCTTATACTTCACTTTCTAGCGGACCTTTACTGAACCAAAGTATCCATATAGCTGTCTTCTGTGGTTTTAACTAGTTATTACACTGAGTCTCCAACCATTGGTTACGATAGTCACGCGGATCCCAACCAAGCAGTCTGCATCTACCAACATGGGTCAGACTAGAAGTTAATGACTTCAAGCACTGATGCCACGTTTTGGTTCGGCCGCCCTTAACTTTCTTCCAACCATCCCTAACACCGTTTAGCATTGCACGTCGTGGTAATCGGTGTTCAGGCATACGCAACACGTGGCCCAACCATCTCAGTCGATGAAGATTCACAACCTCATCAACTGATTTACCATCATTCCCTAATACCCTGTGTCTAACCTCACTATTACTTACCCGGTGATCCCAGCAGATGCAGGCAATATTTCTAAGACATCTGTGGTAAAAAACTGGTAGCTTACGAGTATCTTCAACTCTTAATGGCCATGTTTCGCTACCGTAAATTAAAACAGAACGAACTGCCACGCAGTATACTCGTCCTTTTATTGAAAGACAGATACCTCGCCTTCGCCATATGTGACGTAAGTTGGCGAAAGCCAAATGAGCTTTTCGAATCCATGCTGAGATTTCTTCAGACACCAACCCATTAGGGCTGATCAGACTTCCAAGATAATTGAAGTTGTCAACGCGTTCGACTACTTCACTCCCTATCCTTAGTTCACGTGTTGACGCAGACCAGTCCTGAAGCAACAACTTGAATGTAGAGGGAGAGAAGCGCATCCCGAACATTCTGGTATTGTTGCTCAGTGCTACCAGAAGACTGCATTTTATCAGCGTCTTCACCAAACAGGACTATGTCATCTGCGTATTCTAAGTCGATAAGTGGACCTCCTGGTAGGATATCAATACCCGAGAATTCAGTCGACGAAAATGTTATTTCCATCAGTAGGTCTATGATGAAGTTAAACAAAAATGGAGAAAGTGGACAGCCTTGACGGACACTACTTGAGGTTGCAAAAGCAGATGACAGTTCGCCATAAGCTCTGACTCGACTAGTAGTGTTCGAGTAAAGAGCCTTTACAAGGTTTATGTACTTCTGAGGTATGCCTTTCAATGACAGACACTGCCACAGAATCTCGCGATCTATGGAGTCAAATGCTGCTTTTAAGTCAAGAAAGACCACCATTGTCGAACGCCGATAAATATGCCTGTGTTCTAGAACCTGACGAATGGTGAATGTGTGGTCGATGCAGCCACGACCAGGTCTGAAGCTAGCTTGATTTTCTCGTGTTTGCAGTTCACGAGTCTCAGGCGTTTGATAATTATTGAGTCTAGTATTTTAGATACTATTGTTGTTAAACTAATCCCTCTATGGTTGTCACAGGATGATTTTGACCCTCTCTTATATATTGGGACGGTAAGTGATTGTGACCAGTCAGATGGGATAACGTCTAACTCCCAGATCTTAGCTAAAATATTAGTCAGCCTAATCGCTAAAATTGGACCACCATCCTTAAAGACCTCTGGAGCCAATCCATCTGGACCAGCTGCCCTTCCTCGTTTCAGATTAACTATAGCCTTTTGAACTTCAGTTAGAGTTGGGGGACCTACTCCAATGTTACATTCACACTGTCTGGGAATGGAGGGTAGTTGTAGAGCAGCTGAACTGTTCTCTGAAATGTTCCGCCCATCGTTCTAAACGTCTGGACTGGGAGCAGATGAGAGTGTCGTCTTTTTCCGAAATAATCTCACTTACACTTGACTTATTAGTTCTAGTTTCTCTTATTAGTCTGTAGAGCTGTCTTGTGTTCCATATAGTCGCCGCCTCTTCCATCTCTTTTGCTTTCGTTACCCACCACTGCTCACGGTCGTTCCTTAGACTTTTTCTTAACCTAGATCTGATTTGTTTACGCTCTTCACGTTCAGGACCTGATGGGATGAGTTTGCGAGAATCCATCAGTGCAATAGATCTAAAACTAGGACTTTGCAAACAAACGATTTTCAGGATTTATATGGACCCAATGTTTATTTGTGCACCAGGATTCGGTCCCAAAACTCATACCTGAGTCTCTTTCTGCTTGGTTTGAACCGTTTTGACGTTAAAATAGTGGGCGATAAAGTATTTCGTTTTACTTTCTTGTCCTTCGATGTCATCTGAGAAGTTTAGATGCTACTGTTTCAAGTGAACTTAATAGATACATATTTTCAACCTTCTTTATAGAAGGCAGCTACATTCAAATAATTTCTAGTTTGTTGTGATTTTTTGTCACCGAATTTCCAAGTCTATTTATTCGTCTACTATTTTAGGTATAATATCTAGAAAATTAAAGTCGAAAGTTACTTTGTCCATAGTTGTGAGTTGTTCTGACAGAGGAAAATGTAATAAAGTGTCACCTAGTTGAATTCTGTGTATAAAAGCAAACTGTTAATGGCTATCGATAAAAGTGAATCAACCAATCATATGAGTTAAGGGCCCACTACTCTCATTTAATCTCAAACTGGCTATTACTCTGATCCATTTTATTGATTCATCTGGTATCTCTGCTACTGTTCGGTATGCGTGTGCTTACTGTTCTCTTTGTAATTGACTACTATTTTGCATTCTTATACTAATTGTATTGATTTACACTTTAGAAACAGATTATGATAGTTGGTTATATACTAGTGATCTGTTCTGACTATAGTCCTGATTAGACTGTGTGCGACGGTATAGTTGCTTATTCAAGAAATTCATTTTTAGGCAATTACTCACTAAACCGAGGCTCCTAATTAACAGTATGTTGCAGTCCGTTATATCACGTTTATAATTAATTAAGCTGTGAACCAAAGTAATACAACCAAACGTCGAAATTCATTTTATATCCGTCTCTTCGGATTCCAAGATTATGAAAGCTAGAATTTTTTTCATTTTTCCATTGTACCACCAAAATTGATAATTAGTGACAATGAACAGCTTTTGAACTATAATAATCTAGTTAGGATGGAAAAATTGTTGCCGACGGGATCGTTAGTGCTTACAATTTGTAATTTCAATTGATGAAATAAAGACTTCTAATCTATCGTTGCATTCAGATGACCGGACCAATGGATAAGGGAATGACATGCACAGCTACAACCCAATAGACAAAGTTAATTAGCAGGAAATCTGAATGGCTATTATACGAAAGTTTTAACTACGCCGCAGTGCAAAGATACTACGTTGGTTGACAGTACATTAAATGTCAACAAAAAGGGGCTGTAATATTTGTACAATAATAAAGACTAATTATGACATATATGGATTGTTACTATAAATTTCTATTGTTTCTATGTCAATGCTGTTGAACAGAAGTGAAATTGATTTTAATTTATTGTCTTTTTGATGTTTCAATATAATTCTTCTGGAGCTACTTAGCACTGTTCATTGTTCTGTAAACACTCATTCGTTATGTAATATAATATTTCATTGTGGAACATACCGAGCGTTCCTTGTAAGTTTAATATATACTATGTTTATTGTGGGGTAGAAGTAATGATTGTTCATTTTTAGTCATCAGAAGAAAACTATTCAATATTTCATAACTCCATACAACTAAGCACAGTAATTATAAAACTAAATGAAATACGTCATTTGATCTATTCAATACTATATTTCATATAAAATAGCAGTTCAAAGTCCATTAAGTTATCTACAAAACGAAAGATATTTTTCACAAAATTTAATCACACAAAAATCTATGATATTCTGTTTCCAATTGTCTTTTTTTTTAGTATGTATCGTCTTTCAATATGAGATTATCGATACTTTGAATTTAGTTAATTTATACATACTACCTGTGATTTTTTATAAATGACAAATTATATTAAAACACTCTAAACAAGATACGTTGCTTAGTTACTGTCGAGTATTTTGACAACACTGTGTATAATGCTCCAATAATATTTACATTTTTACTGATAATCATATGACATATTTAATTTCAGCCATAATGATGAAAAACTTTTTTCAATGGTAGAAATACAATAAATATTATCGATTAATATAGTATCAGTTTTCCGGTGACTTTAAAGGAAATTCAATTACATGTGAAACGTTTCAAATGCATTATACAGATTGTTTGCTTGCAAGTCTATGAATTCATGTTTCAGTTCAATATTTTTTTCTTTTAAGTGGTGGGATTTTATTTACTAGTTGATGATTTGTGATCTTTTTGGCTATGTAATTGAAATGCTAATAAGAAACGTAGATTCGCCTGTTTATTTTGCTATAAATGATCAATTATTCATTAGTCCTGACGGTATTGTGTATTTAAATGGTAGTGTGATTATTTCTTGTTTATCACGTAAGCCAGAGCTCGATTACCTCTGTAGCGAACGTTCCTTGGTTTGTTTTTGGAGTTCGGGAATAAAATCTTTGGTGTTTTGGTCACCTTAATCAATCATTTTGTCAAATTTCACTCTACATTCAAAGACTGGTACTTTTCAGATGAATGATCAATAATTCCTTTAGATTTTCATACGGCAATAAAATAGATTTCGTTGTGAACGTTGTATTTATTGGCAGATTAAACACGTCCTTGATGGTGAATGCAAGAAAATGGGAAGAAGTTTTATCACCCTGGACACCTTTTCTTGCCATACCCTGAACTTTAAATCGGTCCATGTAGTCTTTGGACACTTCATCGATTACCCAGTAAATTACTCCATTTCTGTGCCAAATAGAATAAGTAATAGTATTGAATGTAGTGTATTCAATAGAAATTCCCGGGTCTGTTCAAAAGGCATTCTAGTAGTTACGAATGGACCGGTACGCGAAGAAATTAAAAAAGATGTTAACTTTTGTGAATGTATGAATGGAATGTCTTCGGCTCTTT